TTTGATTCAAATTTTTTTAAATGACTCAATCGGGGTTATGAACGAAATCTCATTTTTTGGTCCAAGATTCAATGTCGTATAACTTCTTTGATTGGATTTCTTTTTGTTGTTTTGGTGAAAGAGATTAGTGATATAAAATCATCCTTCAATCAATACCACCACATCAAATTATTTCACGTGAGTTTGGATCTTCTTTGTCTGTGTTAAATTTAAGGTTTATTATTGATGTGTATTTGGTTTTCTAAATACACCTTTGTTCAAAAAAAGAAAAGCCAATAGTATAAATTGTGATGAAGTATAATCATCAAGTTATAATATAAACTATTTTTGGATGAAGTATTAGACTATTGATTATGGTCGAAACCTTTGTTAGGCTTTCCACGAAGAGTAACACGCGGAAAGAAACATGTGAAGAGGGAAAAGGCTCCAAAAATCTTCATGGGATATCACAAATGTAGTCATACCTTTGCTCCAATTTTAGAGAGAACCGAAGGAGGTTATTAAAGTTTCAACCAACAACATTGGGTGCACAAGGTATACTCCAATTTCAATTTTTTTCATTGTTAGCTGATTTTTAAAGAAAAACCTTGTGACTTCTCGTCCGAAGGGCATGATAACAGTGGATATCTCATTATAAATAGAGAGTCATGTTAGTTATGTAGATTCTTTTATTTTGATACTGAAGATAATTGAGTTCGATGAATTGGATGTAGTGCTCTCTCGATAGTCTATACTATCTACAGTTGAAATGGAAAAACAAAAAATTTCAATCTCGTCAATAAATAATATCTACTATTCGCATGCTGTATTAATTAGATCCCATTTGAGGTCAATTTCTTTTCCACTTATAATGTATTTTGTATGAAAATAAACGCAATAATGTACCATATTCATGCAGAATAATAGGCTAATTCTATGCACCATCGTTTGGTTTTCACAGATACGAAGGCAATCAACAGCTGAATTTCGAGATCACTTAGATCACGTTTATGAGAGAAAGACAAGTACGATACATAAATAAGTAATTCAAATTGAAGATAGCCACGCCCATAAATTAGAAGACAATAAGGTTTAAACTTAGATTTCGACATGTCATCCTTGGGAAGTTTTAGAGTTAGATGACTTTCATTAGATTTCTTGGAGCATATACCTTTCATGTAAGAAGGACACGATGCAATGTGTACTCTGTGTGGACCCTAATAGCCTGTAGTATGATGGAACTTTTCCCAGTTCTTGGTGAGAAGATGTAATTTCTTTTGCCATCTTGGTATTTTAGCATACTAACATGTGTAAGGTAGCAATGACATCATTTCATGTTTCTGATATCCATAAGATGTAAACCCACTATTTCTAATATAAATTTTCTATATCCGAACATAATTGTTGTATTTGATATTTTACATTTATTAAAACTTAGGTACCTATCAGGAAAAAACAATAAAATAGGTTTGGATTTAAAATCATTTTGCTATGTTCATTGTTTGTTAGCAACTAGTAAACAACATAATGGGTTTGCTACACATTACTTTCTCTTAAAATTATTCAAATAGAAATAAAAGATATTACTTTATTATATTACATTCGCACCGGTAGGGAACCTAGTTATTAATTAAGTGTAAAATTGAAATTTAAGAAAATCATCCCTGGATATAAAGTAAAATATCCTTGGATTTATCATTCGCCTTTTTTTCCATTTTTAATACAATATTGACGACTAAGCTTTTATATCATAGAAGTAAATTTTAATTCTTAAATCCAAATATTGCGATAAAATATAGTGCGTATAATTATTTTAATTTATTTTTTTAAGTTTATCTTAAAAATTAACATAATTTCAAAAGCCATGACTTACAGTAATTGGCCACTAGATCAGAAAAAATAAAAAAAGATCTCATATCTAGCAATTCATTGTTATAAATCCGGTGAGGTATTAAAAATATTATTGTATTAAGAAAAAAAAAAAGAAAAAATTATTCCTTGAACATCTCATATATCCACTCCAAACACTATCTAGCTCACATTTCAAGTTAAAAAAGAAAGAAAATTATAAAGGGTTAGCCGCCGCCATACAAGTCGAAACCGACTATTTAGTTATTTACATTAGACAATAAAACTCTTTTTTTATTTATAACATTATTGATTGACTAGTTTGATGCATTCCTTTTTCTTTTCTATCTAATCTCGACATTATCACTTACTTTAGTACTTTACAATTGGTGCTAAAATTTTGTGAAGTCAATAGGGGCATTTTCGATGGATTAAAATTACATGGAAAAAAATAATCTATTTAAAATATATTTTAATTTTAAATTATTACTTTCGAGAGAAAAATTTATAAATCCGTTTTTAACACCCACTATTTGTAATTAGGAGTTTAAATTGAAGTAGATTGATTTTTGGGGTAAAATATTATATTTTAATTGAGATCGACTAGAATTAAGTGAAATTTAAGGTTGGATTTAGTAGTTCTTGGATTAAAGAAAAACTATAATGAACGGGGCCTAAAACAAGTTATCTTTTAAAAAAATGAATGTTAACGATATTTTTAAATAATTATCGAATTCGTAGGTAATATAATGAATTTGATATAATTTAATTAGTTAAATTTTTATTATTATTTTCTTAAAATTAACTTTACCTACCATAAACTTTCGAGTTTGTGAGTTCTCTATAGTTTATTGTGACTCCCCAAATGAGTCTAGAAAAGGAAAATTGGGTTAGGTACGCGATACAATAACTCTTGACACCATCATCAATATGGATTATATCAGAAACTTTGTTTGTAATTTTTTCTTAAAATAAATAAATAGCTCAAGTTCTAAAAGTATCCATGTTGACTTAATCTAAAATAGATCAAAACAACAATCCAAAATATAAAGTACCAAAATAAGTAAAAAGGACAAACGCATCTAATTAGGATGCTTCTGAGCGAGGATTAAAAAGAAAAAGGTTTGAACTATTCAATATATCACATTGCTTCAAAGTATAAAAGTGATTATGGGATTGTTTTAAGTTTTACAGGATGCTTGTGAAATATAAAATTCTTTCACTTCGTACTTTTCAAAGATTAGATGTAGTTTAAATTTTATTTTTTGCGTTTTCGATATTGAAGCATATGTATGAATGCTCTAATTAAACATTCTTTCATTCATATGAGATCTTTGAAGAGGTAAAATGAATTGGTAAAATTGTGCAAACTAAGAAGTAGAAATTAAGTATTCCTTCCATTCCAAAACAATTGTATAATTTAAATTTGTATTTTTAAGTTAAAATGAACTAAAAATAAAAATCTAAATTTAACACTTTTGAAATGTGTTTAATAAATTAATTTTGAATGATTTATGAAAAATATCAAGGAACGAGGGTTTTAGTTGTAAAGATAGATGTAAAACAATTTGGAAAGTGGAGAACAAGGTATAGGACGGCCTTCTAGACATGAGCAATCTCATCAGAAAAATAATAATTATGTGGTACCAGAATCATAAATAGTGTTACTATTCAATTTTTTAGTTAGGCTTTCGCCAAAAAAGTAACGGTAAACCGTATTGTTACGTGAGATGAATGCGGCTCAACCGTATGTTTCTGGTACGAAGAAGTAATATTTTAAACTTTTGATACTGAACGTATATAGTAAGCAAATTTGTGGTAATTTATGTGTAATTAATTGGTAATAATACAATAACATATTAACAAAAGAAGCAAAACTTGGAAGTTGAGCTTATAGAGAAGATTGATTTGGGCAAATAATATCTAACACCTAGTAAGTATTTACAAGTATTTTTTCCTTTATGTGAGTCTTTTGATTTTTTTGAATTAGTTATTTCTTTTCTTTCTGCCCTGGTTCACGCAATTTTTTCTGTTTACAATTCCCTCAAATTGGTGAAAAATTTTCAATTGATTAGCAATGGTATCTAGAGAATCAACCATCTTCATGCGAGCCAGCTTTAGAATTTGACATCCAATGATCGACCACAACAATCATTTGTTTTGTACTCCGATATTGACAAGGCTCACGGACGACATGACACTGAAGATGTAACAAATTGAAGAAAGAGATTGAAGATGAGATCAAGTCAGCAAAATTCCAAGAATATATTAAACGGATGCAAGGGGGCAATTAAACCAAAGTTTTCAATGGGGGAAAAGGAGGATTTAGATGAAATTTGGGCAATATTAATGAGGCTTTAATCCGAGACAAAGAAAAGACTGTTCCCCACTCCAGTAACCCTAACACTTGAGGTAGGAAAAGTAGATGCTCCGTTGTTGGGAAACATCCTTCCTCAAGTAAGGATTTCAACACCGTCAAGGGCGTCATCAAGTATAATGTAGGCTCCCACAGTTTCAGAATCGCGGATCAAGTTGTCTCAGACTATAAATTTTATAGAAGATGAAGCGGTTCTCAGCTCTACTCACTTGGATGCAGTAGTTATTAAAATTCGCCATTGTAAACAAAGGAATCCACAGGATTTATGTTGATGATGACAATGCGGTAAAAGTCATCTATGTTACTATGTGGATTGTTCCTTTAAATTGGGTTTTGAAAATGCCATCAGGTTGGCATAATAACACTTTGGAGTAGATAGAATTGAAATGCAAGAAATTGTATGCTCTGGTCGTTCCAAAAAGATTAAACATTAAAATCGTCTTGATTCAAAGAGAAGGAATATATTTATTTGTTACATACAAGATATGCATATAACTTGAATGCTTGCACTCTTGTGGACTTTGGATGTAAAAAGGAAAAAGAATAATACTCCTATATGAAATAATAACAAGAAACTAGGAAATAGAACAATGTATCGACAGAACAAAATAGTAAATAATAATTGAAAATAATTGCGATTCAACTTCCATCACCAAGTTGAGTTCTAAAACCTTCATCCCTGTTGAGAGTGGTCATATATCATTCTCGCTTTCAGCAATGAGCCCGGCATTGCCGAAAGATCGATGATGATGACAATAAAGCAGTCCAGTATACCATACTTGGTATAATCAGATTTTTAAAGCTTTAATCTGAGATCAACTTTTTCTCCATCTTCACCACCGCACTTGTATGATGAAGATCGCTGGACAACTTGGCCAATCTCGTTCTCCGCGGGTTCAGGGAATAACTTTAACAAAGGTTGCTGCATTGATGATTCACAAGGAGGAACCTGCCCATGGAAGCTGCCTTTGCCGTCATCGATTTGGGTTATGGGACCCGAATTAGCAGTAGCAAGAGAAGGCCTAGGAGGAGGTGCCAGGGTGAGAAAATCTCCATTCAGCATTCTGTTTTCTGTCAGTTTGATATCTGAGTGGTTTGGTTCTGATTGAACAGTTGATCTTCTTAAAACTTCTCCTTCTCTCTTGACGTGATAGCCAGCCAGATCGGTATGATCGCGGGCGCTAGTGTTGCTGATCCAGCGGGTTGATTTTTCTGATTTTGGTACACAGAAAACACAGGAGCAGGGATCATATGCCGGGCCGGGTGGACTTTGCATTGCAAACGGATATGGTCTCTTCATGCCGACGGCCATCTTCTTCTCATCTTCTGTCAATAAAGCTTTATTATAGGCACTGCCGCCGGTGCGTAAATGGTTTTTAAAAGGCTTCTCCGCGAGATAGTTGAGAACAGATGATGGTGATATTGGAACCCCTGATGAAGCAGAACTTTGTTGCGGAAACCGCTGACATCCTCGCAATGGATTTGGGGCAGGAGGAAAATCGGAACTAATAGACCTACAAACAAATCCAGGATGATTATTATTAGGTTGACGATGATCCAGACGGAACACACCATTATTATCCCGACCAAATTCACCATAACTACAAACTTTAGGGTAAGTTTCAACACCAACATGCCCTCGAGAAAAACCCATATGGCCATATCCCGAATTTAATGAAGGCAAGCCAACGGCTGGGTTCGGATTCGAAGAATTGGAGTTTAATGATGGGATTGTCGTTCTTCTGGACAGGGAAATTGGTGAAGGAGGATCATGAGTAGGAGGTGGTGATGGTGACTTTTGCAGAAGGGCTAAGCTAGAGGAAGAGGAGGCGGAATTAGTAATATCACTATGGTTTAGTGACAACGAAACTAAACTTTTTTTCTTTTCTTCCTCCGCCATTCTAATCTCTTCAAGCTTTGCTATTCCTAACCCTCTCTTTGGTGCTTTTTTCTCTTTCATCTTTTTCTGAGATCAGATGGAGAAGGATGATTATCATCCCAGAAAAACAAGGCCATAAATTTATATACAGTCACCATCACCAATACCGCCTCAAAGGTCTTGTGAAAAGAAACTTAATTCTGAAATCTAACCATATTTCGAAACGCGGTGTGAAGGAGAAGAAGGAAGGAAATAAAATCTGCATTCTATAAATTGCAGGAAATGTCGTAGTCTTTGTAGAAAAGATAGGCAACTCAATAGGAAACATGAGTTTTCTCCGCATCAGAAAAGATTTCCAAGTTTTAAATACCAACTTCTGATCACAAAACAAATTAGCTATCTAATGAAAGAACAGAATCTGAGAACTTCGGATTTGTCTCGTATCCAGCTAGTACTGTGTCTGAAATAGTATGTGAAGAGAATCTGAGAGCTTCCGATTTATAGGAATCCACGCGCCAAGGATTGTGAAATAATAAATTTCTTTATTTTTTTTCTTTTCTGCATTAAAAATAATGTATACTAGATATTTTCCCGAATATATTAAATAACAAAATTAAATTCATATTTATATGTAAAAATTTTATTCTCATTGCGACTCAAATTTTATTCTCTCTCTAGTGGTTGTTTGAATAAACACCTAAATTGAACATAAGAAAAATATTTATTTTGAATTTTTGATAATTTTAACATAGAGTTTCATTTTTTTTTCCAACATAAACATTGAGACAATTTTTTTTGTTAGTGAAATAAAGTCAGATAGGAGCATAATTAAATTACTAAAATTTTTCTCTCAAATAATTATTTTAGTAAAAGTTAATTTCTATTATATTTAGTTACATGTTTTTTTTTAACTACGCATTACTGACTTGATATTTTTTTTTTTGGTAAGAACAGAAAATCTATTAATTACCAAAACTCAACATATTAATAACTAGCGTTTTTAAGTTCCTGATCTACGCACATAAATATCTGATCTTCTCAAAAAACTCAGTTCAGACTGAGTACATTTTTTACATGAGTACTGGATTTTCCATTTTACTTCCTGCTGGATCAATCGCATTCTGTCTGCCACTGATGATCTTCTGTCCTGGAATTTCCTGGTGTTTCTTTCTGCCCAAATATGGTAAATGGTAGCTGCAATGGCAGCAAATAGAACCTTCTTCTTCAGCTTCTGATATCTCCACTTGTACAGGATTCTGTTGATAGATGATGACAGCTTCTGAATTGGCATTTTCAGTTTTAACTAACTTAAAACTGCTTCAAGCAGGCTCTGAGAATAAGGACAACAAAAGAATAGATGAACAACATTTTCTTCTTTCCTGTCACAGAGTTCACATGTGCCTCCTCTCCTGCTAGCAGATTCAACTTCTTTAATATCCCCTGAGTTGCAAGTCTGTCCTTTAGAGCAAGCCAGCTTCTAAAGTTGTGCCTTGGCAGATTATAGGAGCTCCAAATCAAGCTAGCCTCCTTCCATTTAGTCATGTATCCACTTAACCATTTATAACCCTCTTTTGTAGAATAAGGCATGCCTTGGTTCTATAGCCAACAACCAGCAGGACATCCTTGCTTCAACTTCTCTTTAACTTTCAGGAGATTTTTCCAATGCCATCCACAATCCTGTGGTGGCAAATAATTCCATATTCCCTGGCCTTTAAGATAATAAGAGTGAACCCACCTGATCCACAAGCTTTCTTTGTTTATTGCCACATTCCAGATTTGCTTGCCCACCGTAGCTTGATTCCAAAGCACTGGATTCTTGATATGCAACCCACCCTCTCTCTTGCTACAACATGATTCATTCCAAGCTACCAAAGACCAAGCTTTCCTAGAGCTTGTTTTGCCCCATAAGAATGTCCTGCAATGTCTTTCAATTTGTGTAATAACAGATTTTGGCAACAGAAAAATGCATGTCCAATAAGAGTGAAGATTTAATAGTACAGAATTGACAAGGATTAGTCTACCAGCATAGCTGAGGTGCCTGGTAGACCAACACTTCAATCTAGCCACTATCTTGTTTATGACTCCTTGACAGTCTTGCTGAGTCCAAGCTGATGGAGAGATTCGTACTCCCAGGTATCTGATGGGGAAAGCACTGGACTTGAACCCCATGACTTGATATATTTTAGATAGGAAAACTTTTCATTATAATGTGATAAGTTTCTTTCATTGTATCTTTAATAGTTGTTTTAATAATAAAATATAAATTTATTTTTAACCAGAACGACGTAGTTTTATTTTGGAAGGAAAGATTTTATCATCACCTCATCTCTTTTGGACTTTTGTTTTAATAGTGTATATATACGTTGATTGTTGGACAAAAGAGATTTTTTAATTGGGGATACAAGTTAAATCGTCCAAGATACATTATTACCTTAATAAAGTGTTTCTTGGACAAGATTATATCTTTTATATTTGTGACAGATTATATTAAAACTATGTTTTATAATTTTTTTTTACAAGAAAATGAGACTAAAAATTCCTTTGAAGTAAGCGTAAATAAACTTGTACTTTATTAAAAGTTAAAATCTAAACTGAAGACTCATTCGGATTGAGAGAATCGACAAAAACAATGCTCTATTTGGCTGATCGCAACCTAAGTTCACATTAGAAAAATTATGGCCTCTAGATCATTGTTTGAATTATGGAATAAGAACAAAAAGCCCACGAGTTATGTCTCAAATACTAATCCTCCTCGAAATCTCTTAAAACGAAGGAAAAAAAAAAAAACCCCCCTCAAGCTATGTACAACGGGACAGTCTTGAAAATGTAGAAGAGGCTCACCTTAAGTAAACATACATAAATGCCCTTCTAATTCATTAATTTTGAGAATAACAATTTTACAATTAATTTTCCATACATGCTACTCATTTCAAAGATACCCAACTTTACAATTATTATGTTGATTATTGATGGTCACCATATTTTAAAGTGTAAGAAATTTTTGTGATTTTTTTACAGTTCGACATTTTGTGGAGTTTGTGACTAGTACATATAATAAATTCAAAAACATTTTCTAATGCAATTTTTACCTTATTACATATGTGAAGACATCGAAATTTTAACGTGGTTTACGTTGATCAATAGTTAGTTAATTTATAATTAGGAGGTTAAATTTACTCTTATGGTATATTAAGTTGAATTATAAAATTTACTCAGCTATGTTGACCGAAAACCAAGTTTAGTCATTTCTTTTTCTAAATTAACATATAGAAGAATTTGGCACATTTTCATTTTAAACACTCCTCTTGCTTACAGATTTCCAGAACGAATTTGAGGGATTGAGTTCAAATTTAGTTTTTAAGTATTTTCCTACTCTTATCATTTCCCTAAAACCGATATTTACATCTTTATCATCCTCATCTCTTTGCTTTCTACACCACCGCCCAACTCCCTCTCACTCTCTTGTTTCAGTCCCCCTTTCTCGTTCATCACCACCCTCACTTCTCACTATATTAATCCTTCTAAATCAGTAAATCAATTAAGATAAAAGGGAAAGGAAGCTAAGAAAGCTCATCTAAGGGACTAGAGCAAGGTACGGGAAGAGAAAGGGGAAAAAGGAAAGAAAGGAACTATTAAGGTATTGGATTTTAACTAGTAATCTTTGTAGGTTGATGTTTGCTAGTAGGCTGTATTTCAGTTTTGATTCTTGAATTAGAATCAGAAATAGTGATATGAATGGTGGAACTACCGATGGGTCAATTTCTAGCATGTACCGCTTTTTTTTGGAAGAAGGAGGAAGGACCTTATTTTTTCAAACATCAAGAATACTTTCCTCTTCATTCTTGCTTTAACATAACTTCCGTATTCCAATTGAAATTGGAGAAATAAAATTTTGCTTGTATTTTGTAGTGGGTTTCAAAACTGAGAAAACATGCCATGTGTTATTTATAGGCTACTTCATGTACAAGAGTACATCTAGTTAAGAAAACAGAATTTATCTATCTTTTTGGAATTCAGATTATTAATTTTGAAAATAAGATCTATAAAAGGATAGGATTTTATACGATAAAGATTCTTATAAATATCTGATCATTTAAACAATGGATTTGGGATTAATAATGTAATAGTTTCAAATAAGTTGACTTGTCGAAAGTAAATATTTATAATCTTTTTTTTTCACTAGGAAAGGATATTAATTTTACCATGTTATGAAAACAAGTAAATAATAACATATAATTTTAACTGAAGATAAAATATTTTTTCCTTTTTAATAAATCAAAAAATAGAGAAAATTTTCAATCTTACTTGGCAGTTGGAAAATTATCCCAGTTTACTTTCTCTAAGTTTTCTATTATTAAGTTATATAGAAGATGATTCTGGAGCCGAAATTAATCTCCTTTGGGACATAATTGGGGGGTTTATGTATCCTTATCCCTTAAATTATTGGGTTAAGGGACGACAAAACATTTCTTGACCTGTTGACTTCGTCCCTTCCCTCAATGCGAGTGATACACTGCCACATTTTGATAATATACACATTTATTTATTTTTGGTTAATATGTACATAGTTTTTTAATGAATCATTTAGTAATAAGTTTGATTACATTGGAATTTGTAACAGATTCTTCAGCTTTCTGATCGATCAAGCATTACGGTAGCTGTATCGTTCAACCATTAAGACAAAAAGTTATTGTAGTTCCTGAAGAGCTGATCATCATCAGCTGTGTTCAACTGTTCACTTTAGAGGAATCACTGATTATCTGGAAAAGAATGGGTATGATGATGATGATGCTGGATTGAAATATGCATTACCTAAATTTCTCGGTAATATGTCCTTCTTTGATCGATGAAGAGTCCGGAAGGAAAAATCTGGGATCTTTTGTCGAAGACGATGAATGAGTTCCAAATGTTGGCAATTGAGTTCTCAAATCTGAAGTTAGAAATCACAAGAGTGTCGTTGACTTGATCAGAAAAAACTGTTGAAAAGTCCATAATGATCATTAAGGAAGTAACAGAGGGATTCAAGTCCTTATCGCATTGCTGATCATGATCTTGATGATTGTTACATCACCTTCTATTAAGAACGTTGCATACTTTCCATGTTCGAGTCTTAAGACTCTTTTGAATCTGTAATATACGCAACAAGTTTTGTAATTAGGTACTCCCTCCGTCCCAGAACGATCGTCACATTTGTAATTTGGGAAATCATTTTGGGACGCCTACTAAATTATTGAATTGTTTAAGGCTCTGTTTTGTACCAAACTAGCCATCGACGTGCTAGCCTTTTGTCAAAGCCCTGCAGCTACCAACTTGCCATTTTCTTTTTTGGCTGGTTGGGACTTGGGAAAACTCCCTCACACGTTCGTTGTTTGACTAAACCCAGAAGGAATTCAATTTTTTTTTTTTTTTAAATACAATCTGCTTACATCACGTTTTCCAAGTTCATTTTTTAGAAGTCACCCTCAGAGACTCAAGAACAGAGGAAATTCATAGTACTAATTTCATTTGGTCATCGTGACGAGATGGAGAAGGATACTTCGCCTATGCTCTTGGTGAGTGTTTTTTTCTGATGTTTTGTTCTAATTTCATTTCATTTGGTTCACACTAATTCTTATTCGTTTATTATTATCATTATTTTAGATAAACCCATTTCTCCGACCTCTGTTTCAAATGAGATTTGATCCCCTGAACCTTCAAATGGATCTGTGAAATTGATTTCTTTCACTTGGTAGAGATGGGCTAGGAGAACGTTTGAATAATGTAGGGACCTCAGTAGACTTAGAATTTGTTTCGATTAACATTCTGCTGTGGCAAACATTGAACAATTCAACTCCTTTTTTTTTTTTTTTTATCAAGTTTGTTAAAAGAAAAGCTTCCAGATGATAACTAATTGATATCATGATTTACTGGAGGTTTGGAGATCATTCCATAGTTTAAACCTAAAAAAAAATGGTAATTAACCACACAGGTCAATAATCTTCAGGATGATGAACCTTCTTCTTCTTCCCGGGATAAGATGAAGGCTATTGAAGAATGGTTACCAATAACATCTTCAAGGAATGGAAAATGGTGGTATTCAGCTTTTCACAATGTAACTGCCATGGTTGGTGCTGGAGTTCTAGGACTCCCTTATGCCATGTCTGAGCTTGGATGGTATGCTACAATCTCCATATATTTATACATATTTTGCCCTGTTTTGATGGACTAATTTCAAGTATCAATTGATCATGATTCTTCCAATCAGGGGACCTGGGGTGACAGTGCTGGTGGCTTCTTGGATCATAACTCTGTACACATTGTGGCAAATGGTTGAGATGCACGAAATGGTACCCGGGAAACGTTTCGACAGGTACCACGAGCTAGGCCAACATGCATTTGGACCAAAACTCGGGCTTTGGATCGTCGTTCCTCAGCAGATTGTAGCTGAAGTTGGGTTGAACATCGTTTACATGGTGACTGGTGGAAAGTCGTTGCAGATGTTCCATGATTTGGTTTGCAAAGAATCTTGCAAGAGTATCAGATTGACCTATTTCATTATGATCTTTGCATCTGTTCATTTTGTACTTGCTCATCTCCCCAACTTCAATTCCATCTCTGGCGTTTCTTTAGCTGCTGCAGTCATGTCAATAAGGTATGATCATTTTAGGACTCCCTATTTTAGGTTTGTGATAGAGCATCTAATTTCTCGTAATACATGGACTAATTCTCCAATGTCTACTTTCAATTGAGCATCATATCTCTCTGATATACTATTCCATCAAACACTTGCAGTTACTCCACCATGGCTTGGCTGGCCTCAGCCGAGAATGGCATAAAACCAAATGTACAATACACTCTCAAAGCTTCAACCACAGCAGGAAAAGTGTTCAACTTCTTCAGTGCTCTAGGGGATGTAGCGTTTGCATACGCGGGCCATAATGTAGTTCTGGAGATTCAAGCTACAATCCCTTCAACACCTGAAAAGCCATCCAAAGTACCAATGTGGAGAGGAGTAGTAGTTGCCTATATTGTTGTGGCTTTGTGCTATTTTCCAGTTGCAACCATAGGTTATTGGACATTTGGCAATGAAGTGGAGGACAACATTCTCATTTCACTGAGTAAACCTACTTGGCTTATTGCCACTGCTAACCTTTTTGTTGTCATTCATGTCATTGGGAGCTATCAGGTCAGGTGAATCATTAATATTACTTGCTGTTCTTACTCATCCTTAATAGTAATTTTGCATCTATTGCGTGACGAGAGTCATATTGTTCCAACTTGCGTAAATTTTTAAGTTTCATAACTTGAGTTAAATCCAGGTTGCAGCATTGTGTTTGTTGTTCTCAATGACATATCTTTTTTCCAGTACAGTTATATGCAATGCCGGTGTTCGATATGATTGAAACTTTGCTGATAAAGGACTTAAAATTCAAGCCCACTTGGATTTTGAGGTTTTTTACCAGGAACATTTATGTAGGTGAGAAATAATCTCATTTTTACTTCATTTACCAAATTTCACTCCTTTTTTTACAGTTTTAGTTGAGAGGATTCATCATGTTTTCCTTTATTCTACAGCATTTACCATGTTTATGGCCATTACCTTCCCATTCTTTGGAGGGCTTCTAGGGTTCTTCGGTGGTTTTGCTTTTGCCCCAACTACGTACTTTGTGAGTACTACATTCACATAATCTTTCAGGACCATACTTCCCGGAAATCGGGGAAGAAAATGTCTCTTCGCTTTGATGGTTTCTTAAGTTAAAATGGTTACTTTTTTTTTTTGGCAGCTTCCTTGTATAATGTGGCTTACAGTCTATCATCCAAAAAAATTTGGATGGTCTTGGTTCTCAAATTGGGTACGTATATGTAACAAATTATGCATTTTCTTTTTTATGTCACAATATGAGAAAAGTTAAATTATTTTAATTTAACAAAGTAGATCGATGCGAGGGAAAGGTTTCCTTAATAGATTCGTTGGTTTTGATTGCGAAACCTAGTAAACCTACAATTTCTTTTGGCAGATATGCATTCTTGTGGGGGTACTGTTGACGATCGTTGCACCAATCGGAGGGCTCAGACAGATTATAATTGAAGCTAGAAACTACCATTTCTACTCTTAGCTAGAGAAAGCCGTAGAAATTACAAACGTAGCATCATTGATCAACATGTAGCAACTTGTAAAAGGCTTGATTCATGATTTATTATTTTGATAGAGACATAGCCAGTCATCATCTTACATGAACTAGTACATTACTGATAAATCTATTGTGGTCTGCTACGTCAAATCCTTTCTCTAGCATGATCCTCAATCTTTATGATGCTTGAGTAAGTGGTAGTTGCCCTGACTCTCTCTATTCATCACATGGATTGAGGTCACTGATCTTCTTGAAATTTCACTCAAATCAAATTCACTGAAAATTTTCCGCAGTTATACGGGTTCATTAAATCCTTCAAATGATTGTGAGATAGCTTACATTGCCTAGGCACGCTTACCTTCAATTACTTAATATTGTCCACTATCAAATATTGTTTAATATTGTCTCATTTTAATAGTAGAGTTTCTGGAAGCAGTTTAGGTTGTTAAATTCGAATATTAAAATGTTACGAAGAGAGTACTTAATTATATTGGATGAGTACAAGAAAGGATGAAAGTACAGATGCGCATATATAGGTTTGTTGATATTATTAACTGAAAACAGGAGGTACATTCTTAGTCAGTTGACTACTACATACTCTAATGTTCCCAATTATTATTGTATCATTTTTGGCAATCACAATTTGATAGTATTATTTTTGCCTAAACATTTCACTGGCTTAGCATGTTACATTAGCACCAGGATCAACACCAAGTTCACGACAATAATCAGTGTAATACCCAACCCTAGCTTTAGCAGCTGCCGAATTTCCACCATTACATTCGAGTGCACCATTAAATGCCTGAATCGTAGCCCCAAATCCTTGAGAATTGATGATTGAATGGCACTTTCTCATCCAATCCCACAACCCAGTTTTGAATGAAATCACATTGTCTCTGGCCACAATATCCGGATTGCCTAAACCATCGAAACCGATGCTTTGTCCCGCAGGACCATAGTTGAAGTTCCATGTCAGCTGGAGAGGACCTCTTCCATAGTAGCTTTTCCCGGGTACGCATGGATATTGAGTACCGGTTACACAGAAGGCACTTGATCGGTTTATCTCTTCCACGTAGCAAAAATCTATAAAATCGAATAAATGCATTACCGAACTTCTGATCTTAGTGGTAGAGAATTTGAAAAGCGAGATTTCGATATTCAGAGACTAAGAGACATAATAGAAAGGAAAGGAAATATAATAGTACATTAGAAGGTCCCTTTTAGGAGGAAAAAGGAAAAAGAAACACACAAAATAACAAAAAGAAAAAGAAAACCAGACACACGCACACACATACACACACAGAAACGTAGCAAAAGAAGAAAGATAGAAGAGGAGAGTAACAACATTTAGCAGATGTTGGAGAACAAAAAATATTGTACCCAGAAAAAAAAAAAACAAAAAATGTTTGGAAAACGTTTTGATAGATAAAACTATAAAGTAAAACTTACGTCCAGTCTCATAAGTGACATGAGCAAAGAAAGCAGCAATCTCCCTCTTAGCATCATCCGTAGAACCAGTAGTTCCGAATGCAGGATACGAATTCACAGCGCTAAGAAACGCTGATCGAGTATAGAACCCTTTTCCGGCACAGCCCGAGCCGGCTTGATTAGCAATTCCATTGAAGAAAGCATCAGTCACAATATCAGCAACACTGGAAGCACTAATGGCCTGAAATGAACCCTCCACAACAAGAACTATGATGGAGAAAAGGATAACTACAGAACTACTTTTGACTACCATTTTCTTTTTCTTTTTTTTTTTCAACTTTGGAATATGATTATTAGATATATATTCTGCCATGAAAGGTTCAGTAGAATGAGGCAAAAAGTGGAAAATTGTGGAAGTTGTCAAGTTTGAATGGATCAAATATTTGCTAAATACAATAATGTTGTAACACCTTTTGCACCAACGATACGAGCTTGTCAAACTTCCTTACTTGAAGCCTTCTGTATGAAAAAGACTCTTGTAAACGTAAGAGTCAAAAGAATGGCGTCTAGTAGTCAATTCTACTACAGGTTACAGTATATGGTATTTTGAGATAACAACAAATCATAGATACTAATGTATTCCTACTATCCCATAAAAAATAATCTAGATTGTAATTTATAAATTGTGATAAAAATGCAATAATTCACAAGTTATAAAATTGGTTTTTACTTAGTGGTATCAGGTCTTAGTCTTATCAAGATATTCGAGCTAGTGATTGTATGTATTCTTGAAAGAGTAATGATATTCTTCTTTACACATATAACTCTACTTATAACTCTACCTACATGTCTATCACTTTGGCATTCGACATCATCTCCCTAATTATTATTTTTTCCATTTATTAAAAAAAATTAAAAGAAATTTTTATCCATTTCTTTCGGTTCTTTCCCCTTTCTCAAAATTCTGAGAATTATTATCACAGTTCTCAGCCGCAAAAAAATAAATTAATTGTAGCCATGCTCAATAAACTTGTGCTTATGTTGCCATTGTTGAGATTCTTGCATATGTTTTCATTAATTTTGATTCTGAATCAAATCTGCCATTGTTGGAATTCTCTGTCCAATCTCCTATCTTCATATGAGTAATTAACTAATCTATTGCGCAAAATTTATCAGGAACCACAAAAGCTAAAACCTCAAAAATTAACCTAATTAAAATTTGGCAAGATTGCGTGAGGTAGATATTGACGAATAATGGTTTTCAATTGGTGAAGCAACCTGAGTTTTTTGTCTTCTTTTTGTTTGAGGGTTATGCTACGCACTGATGAAAAGGGGCGGCCGGAGGGGAGAGGGGGATGGGAAAGGTGGATGAAACTTGAAAAGCTTCGCCTGGAATTTATTTTATTTTTCAGTGAAAAGAAAAAAGAATATTTTTCAATTTTTTGTAAAATAAAAACATATTGCGGCAGAAAGGGTATAAATACAACAAATCAGCGGAAATGATTCCCAAGAAAAACTCCTTTCCTACTACCAATAAAATAGGATAACCAAACAAGTAAAATAATTCAAGAACTGATAAAGTAAAGTAGACACACGAATTTACGTGAAAAACCCAAATTGGAAAAAACTACGTGACTGTAACAACAGTCAAATCTCACTATCATAATAATGGGAAACAATCTTCACCAACCGGTGGATACACATGATTTCATTCAAAGGTGGATTACAATAATACTCTTCCACACGCCCCTATCACAAAGTAGGATTGGAAGGATCTTATCAAAAGATAGCTAAACTGAAAACTAAATCGGAGGATTTGTAGATCTTGTGGAGAGGAACACACATGCAAACTTGCACCAATAACTGACTCTGTTTCGTCACCTGATCAAAGCCTTAAAGTGAAACACTTTTTTCTCCTAACACCAAAAACCCCAGAATTAGCTTTTCTCTCCTCTTTTCCCTCGCACAAAACCAATGTGCGGCTGCTGCTTTTCTTTGGCTGAACTCACGACCAAACTCTTGCACCAATATGTGCAGCTACATTGCTTTATATAAAGCAAAAAAAAAAAACAAAAACCAAAACCCAACTGTAGAGGGTTTTGTTCTCCCCGTCAAAAACCAAAACCAACTTGGCTTGGTTTTATTTCCTTTCTCGTTGGCCTACTTGGAGGGGAACCCGGGCCCAACAATCTCCCTCTTCACCTCAATTGGGGGGTAAAACCGAACTCGCTTCCTGCCTACAAAACAAGAGCTTGTCTCCACTCACAGTCTTCGTCAACATATCGGCACCGTTATCATCCTTATGAATCTTCTCAAGAAACAACGCCTTGGACACCAACATATTCCGAATCCAATGATATCTCACATTAATATATTTAGACCGCGAATGGAATGTGGAATTTTTCGCCAAGTGAATAGCGCTCTGGCTATCACAATACACCACATACCTCTCTTGCTTCATGCCAAGCTCTTCTAGAAACTTCTGCAACCAAAGTGCTTCCTTACAAGATTCAGTAGCTACGATAAACTCTACCTCTGTAGTATACAAAGCAACACACTTCTGCAACCTACTCTGCCATGAAACTGCTCCCCCTCCATAAGTCATCAAGTAACCATAAGTAGATTTTCGACCATCAAGGTCACCCGCCATGTTAGCATCTATGTATCCATCTAACATGGTCTTCCCATTGCCAAAGCAAAGACTCAATCTGGAAATATCCCTAAGATACTTGAGAATCCATTTCACAGCATTCCAATGCTCCTTACCAGGATTAGAGAGAAACCGACTAACAACACCAACAGCATGAGCTATGTCTGGCCATGTGCAAACCATCGCATACATCAGGCTGCCAACTGCCGAAGCATAAGGAACCTTTTTCATCTCTTCCTTATCTTTCTCACTTTTAGGACACTGTGTTTTGCTCAGCTTAAAATTCCCCGCAAGTGGAGACAAGACTTCCTTAGCACCGCTCATGTTAAACCTATCAAGAACCTTCTCGACATACTTCTCTTGAGATACCCGAAGCTTCCCATTCTGTCTGTCATGAGAAATCTTCATCCCATGGATCTGTCTAGCCGGACTCAAATCCTTCATCGTAAAGGACTTATTCAACTCCTTTTCTAACCTGGCAATCTTTGCAGTATCATGACTAACAATCAACATCTCATCGACATAAAGCAAAAGAATAATAAAATCACCATCAGAGAATTTCTTCAAAAACACACAATGATCAGCTGTAGTCTTTTGGTATCCCTACCCTATCATGAATGCATCAAAATTCTTGTACCACTACCTCGGAGCTTGCTTCAATCCATACAAGCTTTTGTTGAGACGACATACAAGCTTCTTTTTCCCCTATTCCTGATACCCATCTGGTTGCTCCATGTAAATCTATTCTTCCAAATCACCATGCAAGAAGGTTGTCTTCACATCAAGCTGTTCAATCTCAAGATTCGAACTGGCCGCTATCCCAAGCACAACTCGGATCGAAGACATCTTTACAGCAGGAGAGAATATCTCATCAAAGTCTACACCCTTTCTCTGATTGGATCCCTTCACAACCAATCTAGCTTTGTACCTTGGTTGTGAGTTGTTCTCACTTTTTTCAGTCTGAACACCCATTTATTCTTGAGTGCTCTCTTGCTCTTAGGCAGTTTCACCAGGTCATAGGTGTTATTCTCATGCAAGGATTTGATCTCATCTTGAATGGCTGCTAACCACTGATCTTTCTGCTCACGACTAAGAACCTCTTCATACGACTCTGGCTCTCCCCCATCAGTAAGCAACAAATACTCATGAGCATTGTACCTAGTGGAAGGTCTCTTGTCTCTGGTGGACCTCCTACGCTGAACAGGAGGTGATGAAACCGGTGGTGTCTTTGTTTCAGAAGTAGGATCATCATCAAACTCACAATCCTGCTGTCTCAGCTCCCCCTTCAGGAGAATCATCTAGATTGTGGAGGAACTGGATCTAGATCAACAGGAATCTCAGGTGAAGATTCTGGCATCTCGCCTTTTCCCATATCATCAATGGTCTGGTCTTCAAAGAAGATCACATCTCTGCTTCTGAAAACTTTCTTCTCTACAGGATCCCAAAGTCTGTACTCAAAATCATTATTTCCATGCCCCAAGAATACACACTGCTTGGATTTGCCATCGAGCTTTGACCTTTCGTCTTTGGAAATATGAACAAAGGCACGACAACCAAAAATTCGCGAATGTCCAAATGAGACATCTTTTCCTATCCAACCTTGCTGTGGTTGATCACCATCCAACGGAACTGAGGGAGATAGGTTGATCAAATCAACTGCTGTCTGCATGGCTTCACTCCAAAATGATTTAGGCAGCTTTGCATTCAAGAGCAGACACCTAACCTTTTCGTTAATACTTTTGTTCATTCTTTCTGTCACGTCATTATGTTGTGGAGTCTTTGGAATACTCTTCTGAAGTTTAATGCCACGGTCTCGGCAATACTTCTCAAACGGACTCCTGTACTCACCACCATTATCTGCTCGAACACACTTCAACTTCTTATTAGTCTCTCTTTCAACTCTAAGGTGAAAGTCTTTGAACACATCTAATATCTGATCTTTAGATTTCAAAGAAAAACACCAAACCTTTCGAGCATAGTCATCAATGAAAGTAACAAAGTACAATGAACTACCCAACGGCCTATCTTTCATGTAACATACATCTGTATGAACTAACTCTAGAGGACTGGACTTTCTAGATGGAGGAGAATTTTGAAAGGAAACCCTAATTTGTTTACCTTAGATACAGTCAACACAAGGTTCTAGAGCAGTACATTTCACCTCAGGGAGAAATTGCTTCTTACTAAGAATCTGCAGCCCCTTGACACTTATGTGTCCAAGCCTTCTGTGCCAGAGATCAATGGAGGCATTGTGAGTCGCATTCACCTCTCTATTCTTCAACTTTGCATTCAACACATACAAAGAGTTTAACTTCTTTCCTCTATCAATAACAAGATTCCCTCTGGTAATTGTCCAACGTCCACCACCTTCAGCGCTATGATAACCCTCATCATCAAGTTTTCCAACGGAAATAAGGTTCAGATGCATATCCGGAACATGTCTAACATTTTTCAAGACAAGAGTACAACCTGTATTCGTTACCAATGATACCTCCCCCATGCCGACAACATCGCATGAGGCTTGATTGCCCATTCTTAGACAACCAAAATCTCCAGGTGTGTAAGAGGTAAAAAAGTGTTTGTGAAGCGTCACATGATAAGACGCACCTGAATCACCAAAAGCAATCACTGTCGTGACTCGTAACGTTAACATCATCACAGTACACAAATACATCACTGGTAGTTACCACTACAATAGTGTCATCATCACTTGATTCATCCTTCTTGCCTTTACCTTTTCTCGCTGCTAGT